AAGGACCTTTCATTTAAGCGATATATGCTTTCCATTAAAAAAATATAATGGGTAAAGTTATCATGATTTTACTTTCAATTTTCAAAGTGAAATACCAAATTTCTTTTTGGAACCAAATTTTAAAATGAAAAAACAATATTTCTACTCTAAGATAATAATAATAATAAGGGGTCTATATAGCGCGGTACCCCAGCCTAGGGCTGGGCTCACCGCGCTGTACATAAAAATTTTATCAAAAGAGACATAATCATGACATTAAAATAAAATACATTTATGAAATAAAGAACAGCAAAAAAAATGTATATTCACCCACCCCACCACATAACTTTTACAAGGCAAACCATGGACAGCAGCCAGCAAGATCGTTTATCGGTCAGAGGAGGGGAATCACTCAGGGTAGTATAATTTAAAAAGATGTCTTTTGAGTGCAGTTTTGAAGGCCTGGGTGGTTGGTATATTGCCTATGTGGGAAAAGGAAAGAGAGGAAGGTCTAAGAATACATGGAGACGCGAGCTAGAGGCAGACACGCAAAATATGGGATACACTTGGAGGCAATTGGAAAGAAAAGCACAGGACCGTGATGTGTGGAAAATTCTTGTAGACGGCCTTTGTCCCAGACGGGGTAGAAAGGCATAAGTAAGATGTTTGCACAAATAGAATGTGTATGCTGGGATATGATTTTTGTCATTTTGGATAAGGGGTACTCAAATTTTTAAATAATTTATAATGAATATTTTATTCTACATACTGAATTAGTAAATACTGTCACTAGGTACTTCAGTAAAGCAAGGGAGACTACTAAAAATACTACTTGTATGGGGAAATGGGCGTCGCCTCAGGAGAATCCGAGTTTTTAAGTTTTGGACGTTGGTGCTTTTCCATTAATAAAAAGACTATTTTGTATATTCGTTGTGTACTTCTTCTTGCGTTACTTAATCTATGACTGTCTATCTGCGTCCAGCATTGCAGAAGTTTTTTAATAATTATTTCTATAATTCTACGGTATGGATACACATAAGGTACATCATTGCAAGCATAAGCACATTCACGAATTCGTTCTACTCCATTAAAAGAATCATTCTATCTCCTTCTATTCTTCTGCGCATGACATTTTTATATCTATCTTTCTGTTCATACTAAATTGTGAAAAAAATCATTATGCGAAACAATTCATTATATAAATATTTGAGCTGTTGCAGTCATAAAATTGTGGTATACTTCCACAAATTCACGATAGGGGACATCTTGATCTACATTTCAACAAACTGTTTTGTCTTTTTTGATAGACCTTAGTTTGGAAATTCATAGTTCATCTTTCCATCAATTTTTTTAATGAAATTCAAAATAGAGCTCTTTCAAATTAAATAATGAAAAGCATTTTATTGATCTATACATGTGCCAATTCTCATTGATGTAGGTCGTGTCCGACATTCGCTCCCGCATTATCATAAGGTCACTCAGCCTAATTTTGACCATAATGGGCCATGCTCCCCTTTTTAATGGTTGAAGATGCCAAAACTGAGGAAATATTCAATTATTAACACTATTTACATCAAAATATTTGATAACTTGTGTTTTAGAATGTGTTTTAGTAATTTAAACAAGAATATTTTAATTTGAGGTTTAAAAACCTGGTAGAGTCCATATAAATAAATGATCATAATTTGCCATGTGCAAAACGTTGTATTGACCATTCTCAGCCACTTGTATAATGGCTGTACCATAGTACTATCTCAGAGTCTCATTCATAAGAGTTTGCTGTGAGCAAAAACTATTAAACCATTAGTCAGGGAAAGCTTCAATTAATTAGACACTGCCAAGGTTGAAAGTTCAAAATAAGTAGTCCCTAAACTAGAGACCAATTGAATTTCGGCTTTGGTTTTGGCAGAGAAAGTTGCCATTTCATCACTTTGCAACGAAGTTTTGGTTTTGGCAGAAACACAACAGTTAAGTTTCTGTTTATTTTCGGTTTCGGCGGAAACAGAAAAGTTAACTTTCAGTTTATTTTCGATTTCAGGCTAAAGAGGTCTTCATTATTGCTCTACGTCTTGCTGTCATAGTGTGATACATGTAAATAGTTTTGAGGAAAAAGAACTACGGGAATGATGATTTTTTTATCATTATTTTTGTTGTAATGTTTTCATAAATACAATATGGGAACCATAGGTTTAATCAATTCATTCATTTGTGACATTCATATTGATTTATTATTATCATGCTCATAAATGTCATAGGCAAAGGTTGATAGTATTGTGGAAAAATAAAAAATGTTTCCCACCAATGAGGGTAGGGGTGGTTGGTCGCCAAATGTCACATGAAATAATGTGTCCCAAGCATGAAAAGACTACAGTATGTTGTCCCTAGGCTAAATATTACTACAGCAATATCTAGCGAACTATTTATGAAAACACAAAGCATTAGTATGCAGATAACTACAAAACATTGTGGTGAGCATTTTATAGGCCATATAAGAAATCATGGATTTAACAGATTTTTGGGTGACAGTTGGCTCCATTTGAGACAATCAGGAATTTGTAGAAATGTAGAATTGTAGAATTATTGCATAAATGTAGGTAACTAAGCAGCTGTACCCTCCTTTGAAATAAAACAAACATAGGCACCTGGCACCATGTACGAAACAGGGAAAGCAGCACAGGTGGGGCCAGAAATGAGAAGTTACAAACTCACACTGCTTGGCATCGGTGAAACAAGATGGATACAAGCTGGATAGTCAACTTTGGCCTCAGCAGAAATGCTATTATACTCGAGCTTGAGGAGGAAAATGCCCCCCACACACAAGGAGACACTTTTATGTTGTCACGGATGGCACAAGAGGCATTGATAGGATGGGAAGCCTATGGACCAAGAATAACAGCAACCTTCCAAACCAAGAAGAAAAAAAATAAAGATGAATATAATATAGTGTTACGCACCCACCAAAAATACCAAAGAAGACGAGAAAGAAACATTCTACAATAATGGTTGTTTATGGAGATATAATTAACAACCATGGTCTGGAACACATAGTTAAAGAACCCACGCAAGGGGCAAAAACTCTCGACCTACTCCTCACTAAAAGTCCACATCTCATCCCAAGAATTGAGGTCATCCCCGAGATATCAGACCACTGCACATCGTATTGCGAATTTTAAGTCAGTGCGCTGAAATAGAAGCAGGCTGTGCAAGAAATCCCCATTTATGCCAAGGCAGACTGGGATAGCCTGAGAAGTGCAACGACAGAGCTGAGCTCAAACATACATGAGATTCAGGGTAATGCGACAACAGAAGAGCTGTGGGTGAAATTCAAGACGACAATCATTGATGCAGTGAAGAAATTCATACCACACAAGACCACCAAACCTAAGACAAATCAGATATGGGTTACGGCTGAAATCCGAAGGCTCGTACACAGGAGAGACCGTCAGTACAAACGAATAAAGAAGAATGACTCGTCGAACTTAAAAAAAAAAATAAAAGCCCTAAGTACTGAGGCCCCGAAGAACCATCCAACGCTTACTGCGCAGATCTTACTGGAACTACCTAATGGCATCTTCTCAGAGGAAGATACTCCGGCCAACAATGGCAAGAACAAGCACTTCTGGAGCTACGTCAAGCACCAATAGGAATCAAACACCGGGATTTCCCCCCTGAGATGGCACGGCCATTAGACGTCTCAACCCAAATCAACAGTTCCAGTCTGTCTTTGGTGATGGTAGAGAGTACTCAGAGGTTGAGTTCCTTCTGAAGACCAACATGATGAGCACAGCCTACCCCAACATGGAAGATGTCCAGATTTCAGAGTAGGGTGTGGTGGCACGCCTTAAAACCATTAACCTCTACAAGGCATGTGGTCCTGAAAACATCAAAGCACGAGTGCTAAAAGAATTGGCCAATGAAATCGCTCCTGCACTGAAAATCCTCTTCCAATCATCGCTATTCACAGGTAACATTCCAACTGAATAGAGAACAGCACATGTCACTCCAATCTACAAAAAAGGGGAGCATTACGACCCTGCCAACTACTGCTCGATATCCCTCACCAGCGTAGTATGCAAACTATTGGAGCACATAATTGTAAGCGCGGTCATGAATCATCTTGAAAGTCACAATATACTCAATGACTGTCAGCATGGCTTCTGAGTCAACAGATCACATGAGACCCAACTCCTTGAATTTGCTGAAGAATTGACGACCAATTTGGAGAACAGCAAGCAGACTGATGAGCTTGTGCTGGACTTCTCAAAGGCATTTGACCATGTCAACCATAGTTTGCTGTTACACAAACTGCAGAGATATGGGATCCAAGGCACTACCAAAACATGAATCTCTAGCTTCCTCAGCGACCGATGCCAGGCAGTAGTGGTAGATAGCACAACCTCCTCCTTGTCTGTGTTAAGTCAGGGGTCCCCCAGGGCTCGGTGCTAGGACCCTGTTTGTTCCTAGCATATATCAATGATCTGCACGAGAAGCTGACCTCTCAAGCAAGGCTTCGCAGACGACACGGCGGTATATAGGACAATCGCCAACAGTTCTGACCTGGACCTGCTAAAACAGGACCTCAATCGGTTAGCAGAGTGGGAGATGAGCTGGGACATGGAATTTCTCCCGTCAAGTGCCAGACCCTGTTAGTCTCCAGAAGCAGATCCTTAATACACCACTCTTACGAATTGCATGGCCATATTCTTCAGCCAGTTTCCTCCGTTAGGTACCTAGGTGTTACCATTCAAAGAGAGGTCCGCTGGGACGATTACATTAACAATGTGTGCAACTGGGCAAAATCCTAAGGCAAAATCTGAAGATCGGCAACTCAAGCGTGAAATTTGTAGGACCTTACTGACTTATTGTCAGCAAAACAAATCAGGATGCTGAAGTAAATGCAATGGAATCTGATAAAGGGGAGAATAAGTTTCTTGAAGACCAGGCACCCATCACCAAAGAAGAAATAAAGACATTTTTTCTGTTTTATATGTATTGGGCTAGTAGTAAAAACTTTCCTATAAGACTACTGGAGCTCAGGAGGACCAACCGTGACACCATGGTTTTCAACTGTTATGCAAAGGAATCGATTTTTTGTCATTTTGTCAATTTTCCACTTGTCAGACATTGAGGCAGGATATGAACAGCCCATTGAGGAGAGAGACAAATTGTTTAAAGGTAGTCCCTCGATGAATCTCTGTTTAGAAAGATTTAAAGCTGTATATTCTCCGGATCAAGAGTTGGCCATAGATGAAGCTATGTGTCCATTCAAAGGCCATTTGTCATTCAAAGTCTATAATCCAAACAAGCCTAATAAGTTCGGCATTAAGTTATATGCTTTGTGCAAATCCAATTCAGGCTACTGTCTGGGGTTTGTCATTTATTCTGGACAAGCAACATTCCTTGATGATTATGCTGGTCATGCTAGTCTGGGTGCAGCAGCTACAACCACTGATTTATTCTGGACAAGCAACATTCCTTGATGATTATGCTGGTGATGCTAGTCTGAGTGCAGCAGCTAAAACCACTGATTTATTCTGGACAAGCAACATTCCTTGATGATTATGCTGGTGATGCTAGTCTGAGTGCAGCAGCTACAACCACTGAAAAAATTGTGGTTGGGCTGATTCATTTTTGTGGTTGTCTCGGAAAAGAACACCATGTTTATATGGATAACTATTATTCATCTGTACCTCTGAATCAATTTTTGGCAACAAAAGATATCTATGCCTGTGGCACAGTAAGGAGCAACTGAAAAGGGCTTCCAAAGATTTTTTGTCAGGCTAAACTTAAAGAGCAGCAAATTATAACAAGGAGAAAAGATCATTTGCTTTGCCGTGAAATTTCAGGACAAGAGAACAGTCCACATGTTGAGCACCATTCATTCTGATACTGCCAAAACAATGAAAAAGCTAAACAGGGCAGAGAAAATGAAACCAGATGCCATAATTGATTACTGCATCAAAATGGGTGGTGTTGATTTACTTGACCAAATTTTGCAATACTATGAAATTACTAGAAAAAGTTTAAAATGGTGACGGAAACTGGCTCTGTTCCTAATGGACATTTGTGTAGTCAATGCCTACATTTTGCACAAAAAATTCTCTTCAGATAGAAAATCACTCATGCAGAGTTTAGAATACAGCTTGTCAAGGCTTTAGCCACCACTTTGAACATGAGAGTGGTACAAAGAAGGCAATCTGCTGAAGGTGGTGATGAAACTCTAGCACACCTAGTGGAAAGGCACTTCTCCACCTATATTCCCCCTAGTGGTGAGACATCCAAGAGAAAACATGGGCAGAGAGACTGTATTGTATGCAATTTGCACACAAAAAACCCAAAAGGGATTTAAGAGAATCCAGACTTCCCATTTGTGTCCCAATTGTCAAGTACCTAAAAGCTACCCACAATGTTTTCGAATATACCATGAACTCAAAGACTTTAAAGCGGCTGCCTTTAATAAAAAAATTGAAGCCTATGCAAATGAATCATATGCCAATGGTGAAGGAGAGGAGACAGAAGCCAGTGGAGGTAAAAAAACAAAAGAAATAAAACATTGTCTGATTGTTATTGGCTGATTTATATTATCTGAATTTCATTGCATTAAACTTTTTTTGTGTATAATCAATTTTCTTTATTGATTTGTATTTTTAACACCCTTATCCATTTCTGAAAAGATAATTCTCTGTATGTACCCTAGGCCGGGGTACCGCGCTATATAAGACCACATATTATTATTATTATTATTATGTTATAATCAATTGTTTAAAACAAAAAAAATTTGCACACCTATCAAATTTTGGCTCATTCCAAAATATTCCCTAGGCCGCAGGGAATAATTAGCAAAATAATTGCTGGCACTGAGGCTATATATAGCAAAAAGTAGGTCAGTACCGTAATGGTTAAGATAGCATTACTTCTAAAAAAAAAGTGAAATCTACCATTTGAGTGTCGGCCAAGGAAAAATCCATTTGTTCCGGATTGAAGTACTATTTAAACAATTATTCTTTTATTAATAAGATCCAAAACGATGGAAAAATTTTTTTAAGACATTGTAAGTACATATGTTCAAGTCAGCATATATATAATACAAATTATACAAGACCAGACCTGTTTACCCTCCAACCCCTAAAATCGTACAATCTGGTCTCAAAATCGTACAATACAATATCTCAATAGTAAATAAATAAAACTACAGTAGCGCAATAAAGTCTAATTATGTAACTCCCCCCCCCCTGTTTCCGTTGCACGCAGAAGTTTTTACGACCACCCCCCCCTCCGCCCCCTCTTTTCCCTCAATTACAATAATAAAAAATTAGCAAAGTCCATTACATATTATGTTACAGTAAACAAAATGTGACACAGGTTTTCACCACTGGTGATTCGTCCAGCCCAGTGGTTCACATAATATATGCAACATCGGACTACATCGCCCTGGGTGCTCGCTGCCCTTTGGCAGGGCCATGAGAATATAACGAAGAGCAACCGCGTGAAAAATCGTCTATAGAAAGGAACTGAAACAGTCTATTCAACTATAAAAAAAACCATTTACACAAAGATTAAGAGCGCAATAAATTTTCCTTTTAAATGGGTGGTGAAAAGTTTCTAAATGGGCTGCTGCGGCTTCCTCACAGGGGCGTTGCGAAATATTTAAAAAATTTCATAATTTTATTTTTACTTTTAATCCAACGTGACATCTTTCGGTCCAGTTACCCAGTTGAGTTTGTAGCTACAGATGGCACTCAGTGACCTACATACGTGTTATATTTATTTTTATCCCACCCTTTGTTTTATTTTGGTATTCGCTATGTCCAAGTGCACTTGTTAGAATGTCACACAAGGCGCCTGGTGAAAACCTAATATTGCACAGGCGCCGACAAACAAATATTTTAGAACCACTGGCGTAGCCCAACAAAATATACGTCATGCGCGCGTTGAACATTCGGTAGACTTAACACCGTATTGTAATTCTTCCACTATTGAGTATTGCTCGCCATTTGATTTGTGAAAATACCCCTTGACAACATCACGAGTCTAATGCCTACTACACATTGGCTGGTATTTTACACCATTCGAGATAGAAATGTTATTTTTGGACTTTCAGAGTTTCGGGATGAATGTTGCAGAATTTTTTTAATAACGCACATACATTCTGCCGAGGACCCCCCCCCCTTTTTCCCACACACACACACCCGAACTGTCATTACGAAAATTTGGCGGTGTTGAGTATATAAATTGAAATACTTAGACCGGCTCCATGCACACAATCTCTTAAATCAACACCACTCCTTTTATCTCTGATTGATTGCTAATGAAAAGTCCGACTGTGCAGTTTGCGTCTGATGGACCCTTATTTGAAGAACGCAACTCAGTCAATTTTGTCTGACATTCAAGATAGGATATCAGCGAATAAAATTTCTTTTGCTGAATTTGATGTTCAGTTGAAGTTCCTTCTTCATCATCGGTTTCGCGTGCCTTTCATTGTGTCGATGCCATATCGTAATGTATTGTGCATGCTCAACTACGGTAACGAAAACAAAAAGGCTTGCCGGTAACATTAAAATACCGCAATGTGCACATCCGTCTATGGAGCCCACTTCGTACGCCAGGGCTGTTGGGACAATGGGACATCCATATATAACATACTTGGTAGGCAAAATGAAATGTAAAAAATATTCATACCCCCTCCCCACCTTGTCAACGTAAAGCTATCCAACTACTACGTCCACGCTGACTGCACCTACATTTATGCATGATTTCTTCAATGATTATCCTGACAGTCTCTTATGGAGCCAACTGTCACCTGAAAATATGTGAAGGCCATGAATTCCAATTAGGCCCATTATTAATTATTATTATTAAGGCTATAAAACATCACCACAGTGTTTCGCAGTTATCGTTTACTAATGCTTTGTGTTTTCATCAAGAAATCACTGTAGCAGTAATATGGTGACAACACGTCTTTCCGTGCTGTGACGTAATTGTTTCCAACCATCCCCCACCCTCATTACTGGGAAAAAACTGTGCCGTCGCCTACCCAAAAGGCGCTTGATTTTTTCCGTTAACATGCTTTAGTCCAGTGGTGCAGGGAAAACTCACCAGCAGGGCAATTAAAATTTGTTTGAGAGCCCAATTCTTTTTCAAGAACCTGCCAAGAACCATGTTTTTGGGAGTCAAAACCGTTTGTGGCTGGCTGACCGAGCAGCACTCAGATCGCTAAAGAGCCGCATGTGGCTCGCGAGTCGCGCTTTGCCAACCACTGCTGCAAGCTGTGTAAAAAAAAAAAAAAATATTAAATTAAAAAAGTGGGGGGGGGGGAGGGGGGGGTGGTAGTAGTAGTAGTGATCAGTAATTATTTCAGAAATGCCCTTCCACCCGGGGGATGCACTTCAGATTTTTTTTTTGGGGGGGGGGCAGTGGCAGCATTGCCAGTTATTTATTGTTGGACATATTTTTGCTNCCCCCGAGATCTAGCTGAAAGAAACCCTGGTAGTGATACCAAACTGTTCTATTAAAATCGTTGAAGGCGTAGAGCTGATTTGTGAGTTATAAAAGTATTTTGTAAATGTCGCTGACTGGATCTTATAAAATACCCCCAAAATCCAACGCTCCACTGCAGAACAGTTGGATAATCTATTTTATTTTAAAAACCATCTCTATTTTTACAATCGCCGCGATTCTGAGGAACAAAATAATTATGTAACAAAACTACGTCACACGCTTGGTAGCAGTCAAAGGCGATGGTGAGTGAAGTTGTCGCTAGGGCGACAAGTCTAAATATTACTGTTGACGCAGCCATCTAGTTCACTGTGACTGTGACACACAAAGCAGCAATACGACAATCTCAGCCAATTCCATCAATACGATACGTCGCGGTTATTTATTTATATCCTTTGACACTCCCCCCAATCCCCTACCCATGCGTGTCTCGTATGCCACAATTTCCGTAATCAACAACCCCACCTCCCCAGTCCCCATGAGTGCTTTCGAAATATAATAAGGATGGTCCCAACTTTAAAAAAAAAAAAAATACAACCAATCGTTTTTCTCGTTCATATTCACTGCCAGATCTTCATTAGAGAGGGCTCAAACGCCCAAACCCGAAAATTTATTAATGTTTTTAAATCGGGGAAAAATTTTTTCCACCGGGTCTCTGAAAATCGTAGTTTTGGCGGGTCTTGGCGTACAATCGTAAAAGACATCTAAAAATCGTACATTGTACGCCAAAATCGTAAGAGTAAACAGGTCTGCAAGACATTATTTTAAATAGAAAAATTGAGACAATTTCAAACTTTTTAAAATAGAAGAATTTCAAAAATAATTTAATTATTCATAGCTCTTAACCAAGGTAACAATGACGTTTAAAAAAATATCATTTCCACAAAAACAGTTGCAGAAC